GACTGCCCCCTCCAGTGACCAACCAGGTAAGTAGTGAGGTCTTCTACTTTGACCTCATTACACTTTTATTGTAGACTGGAGTCTTTTGGTGCAAACAAAAGTCCCTTCCCCGGTCCACCCAGCAGCAGAGGCCTAGGAGTTAGGATTCACTGCATGACTAAGGAGGTGTTGCCTAACGGAAGTGCAGAATTCAGGATCTCTTTTGAATCCTCAACCCTTCCTCCACGTGCTGTTAGTTCCCCTTCCGTCTATTAGTTCAGCATCTGCGCCTGTCATTACGCTCATCTTGGACAGCACCTGAGACTTGTACATTTTCAAGGTGCGAAACATATCCAGGAGATTTTAAACACTTTATTTAATAAAAGTTAAACATACAAAACTGAAATTAACACACTTTGTAGTCATAAAAATCACCTTCTTCCGTTAACAGGAAGAACCTTTTTCTATGCATGGATTCTAAACTATCAGTTGCAGAGTCTAGCTTGAGTTGTGACTCGGGTAGATGATGGACATTTCCACCAATCAGTGCATCAACAATTGCTGACGTGACCTGATCTAGTTAACAAATTACAAAATGAGCTACATTATAACATAATATACAGGGGAAACGTGGTCAGGATTAATGAACAAGAAATACCCTTGAATTATTCAGCAGGTATTGTTCAGTACTCTTGCTCATCAACTCAGCCCTAGATTTTACAAAAATAATATCTACATTGTATACAGGGCTATCTATTAACTTTTGTTTTAAACACGTTACGGATTCAGAGATGGCACCACTACCGTAAGTGAGCGACAAGTAACAAAGGAAAGCAATCACATACAGAAAGTACAAAAAGGCAAGAGCTTTTACACATTGTTTCCTGAATAAAATTGAAAGGGCTCAACGACACCATAATATGGCCGAAATTACAATGAACATTGGGGCAAAAAATTCAGACTAACCTTTACTCATTTACAACTAACTAAATAGGATCCAGGCATTCTTATCCGATGTGCTTCAGTTCTGTTTAAATGGATGGAAACCCACACAAGCTACTCAACGAGATGCTGGGGATTTGCTGTACATTATCAAATCTCATAACCACACTGGAGAACCCAGCAGTTCTCACGGTCTACTTTCAGAGTGTATAACCTAAATTCTCCCAACACTTTAAATCCACAATTTTAAAGCGCCTTTCTACTCTGTAATTTGACTCTCTAAAAATGCCATCTTACGGTTTCTTGGTCGTCTCTCCAACTCGCAGTTCAAGTTTGCTGCTTCTACCGGTAGGGATGTTTCCCTCCAGTTTAATTCACAGTCCGGGAAATTCAGCCTGGAACCGAGAAGTCAGGTCACGTTGTTTCTAGCTCGTGAACAGTTACTGGTAATAAAAAATTTCCATGCGCCGAACTCTACCCTCCTTTACAGTTTACAGATCGACTGTCTTCACTGGGATTGCAAGGTAGTAACTTAGAACTTCATTAACAATTCCATTTATATACAAGCTTAGGTGGAATCCAGCTAATTCTCTCAGAGCGGTATAGGGCTCTCCAATGCTAAGCTTGTCACTAAAGCAAGCAGGTTGAACTGACTTTGAGACAAGAGAGAGCTGTTAAGGTGCCATTTTTTTTTTTTATACAGTCACTTTTCTGATGATTACCCTCACTCAAAGTATGAATGGAAGGTTCTGGAGATCCCTGTTTCAGCTAACTGCTGTTTTCAACACAGCGGCTAACAGCAGTTCAAGAAAACATTTGTCTGCAGAACTGACGACTATAAAAAGTTTGGTAATGATTAAAGGAGTCAACTCAATAGCTGTAGATTTAAGGCTCATATCAGCTGAAGCCAAGTGATGGTGACAAAAATGGACTATTCACTACGTGCCAACAAATAATTTACTTTTAGAAAAATATAATGATAAAAAGAGAAGTGTAAAGCCCTGCAGAGATGAAGTTTAACCTTTTTTCCTATTACTGAGGCATTAAATGCCTGACATTATATTTAGAGGTATCTTGATACTGTGTCATGGGTTTGTCTGCAATTCCACATGTTCCAACTCCAACTTTGCCAGTTACACTCTCAGGAGAAGCAAAAATACTCCTCTTGACCTGAGAAGGAAAACAGAAACACCATTCCTAGTTAGTAGCAGTTAGTTGTCAACTTGTCAATTCTCTAATTCTGCAAACAATCCACAACTTTCAACTTTGCAAACAGGTAAGCTGAAGGGCTGACTGACTTCCAAGAGGAGCCAGTGGCAGACCAGACATCACAACGGAGGCCTTTCTGGAACCTGGTCCTGTGCTCTGGTCAGGCCTCTCGGGGAGCACTTACCACTTTTATTCAGAGCCAATGTTCATTTATGTCCCTCAAAAAAGCACTTGCAGGAAATGCTCCAAAGGAGGACTGATGCTTTAGCACTGCTCGTCTCCTCGCTTCTTCCTCTGCAAGATGCCAACTAACCCAGATACCTGCGTGACTGTCCCACGGTCATCTCTGCTATGTCTCACATGCTAGCCAGAAGCTAACCTCCAGCAGATATGAATCCTCCCAAGCTACACAACCAGCACCAGTGGACCCTGATGCTTCATCCCAGGTAAGTGCAATTCATTTTTTCACTCTAGGTAACTTCCTTACTACACCAAGCCTATCAGAATCCTTTATTAAGAGGATATATTAGATTTCCCATCTTCTCCCTTTATATGCAATTTAAAACAACATCCATCTAGCAACAGCTTCCAGTACCCACACTCTTGTAAAGCAGCTCACATTGGACATGTGATCTATGAGCAGCTTAGTTCCACACATCAGTGCATCTGCTTTCCTGCACAGGAAATCATTTTTAAAGTGTTTAAAGCATTTTTCCCCCTGGATAACACTGGCATAATGCATTTCTATAAATTTGAGTCCACAGCAGCTGCACACTGACTAGTACCACAGAACAGCTAATAGGGAACTACAAGGAGGGAACTCTCTGAATGAAGGCATGGAAGTATTAGTGCAAACCAAAATATAAACTGAGGAACAGCACGGCCCCCTCCGCTTGCTACTGGTTGTTCAAGGTCTTTCCTTCTCTCCTGGGCTAGTAAGAAAGCAGTGTGAAGATGTTCATGGGAAGTATCCCAATGGGAAGTCTCAATTACACAGCCAATAGCAGTAAGGACTTGCAACAATTTATTTCTACATGGTATTATGTGAAAGAGTTTGGCTATTCCTCCAAACACAAATTTGTCAGTGAAGAACTCTTGAAATTAGTTCTTCCTGCACAAATGAAAGCAATGGGGGTTTCTGAACCCCTATAAGGAAAGGTCCACCACCTGACTTTCATACTGACACAGAATTACTCAGCCAGACAGCTGCTGTTGACCCACTGTACTTAACAGTTTGCCGCTGGATGGTCTCATCTCAGATACTGAAATTAAGCATTGTGTCTTAAGACATGGACACAGTAGTGTGTAGTGGCTAAAGCAACAGAAATGTTTGCTACTGCACGTGCACTGGCAGGATTTACAAACCTGGCCTTTTTTATTCTTAGAGTAGGCTCTGTTGTTGAACTGTTGCCATTTGACTTTCTGGTCCTCCCGTTCCTGTTCAAGTTCTTTGATTCTCTGTGCTTTTTTCAAAGCTTTCTTCTTCTTATATTCTCGTTGCTGGGCAATCATTTCTTTTCTACAAAGAAAGGAAAACTGTTAGTTAGGCATGTACCTTAGTTTGCCGCTCACAACATGCTTTGGCGCCAATACAAAGTACAAAGCATAAAATTACAAACATGATGGGACACACAGGTTTAAACAGAACTCTCCTTAAATAAATGATAAAACCACAAGCCAAGGCTATGCGGTCAGGCTTGGACTCTACTGAGAGCATTTAGTTGCTTCTCCAAGTAGCCTATCAGCTGAGTTTCACTGTGGCGTTCCACAGAACGCTAAAACAATTGGAAGTGGGTGAACCTTTCTATGAAAGTCTTGGTTGCTGCAGGAACCCCTTTTGGCATGGGAAGGCTTTTTCTCCAGGAAGTGTGATTAACTGAGAACACTGTAATGTGGCTTCAGAAAAGCCACGCTGCCAGGAGCCAAGGACAGCAGTAGCATTGGTTTCCCACTACTCAAGACCTCTGTACCAATTGGCACCGTTCTTTTGGAAGTCAGGGGGAGCATAGGAGAGGAGGATCTGCAGCAGGTCACAGGGACCAGACTCCATGCTCTTTCTGTGTGGTGAGATAACAGCAGTTCCCAGTATTCCCACAAGGACCTCACTAGCATTTCAGCTCTTGGTTTGTTAAGACAGTCAATATCCACCACAAGAGAATGTAGGAACAAAGCAAGTTCAATCCTAGGAACAAAGCAGGAGCCACTCCAAATGCCTGGGTCCCCAAACACACAAGTTCCAAAAGATGAGCTGCTACATTCTGGTTTCTCACCAGAAAGCTCTAATGAGTGAAACCATTTCCTCATTCCTCCAAATGTAAGTAAGTCTGTGAAGCACTCACACTTTCACCTAAAAGCTCTAAAAAGAAATCTTGATAGATTTCAGGTGTCTACTATTTCTTGAATCACCTACACAGGGAGACAGGCAAGGCAAGTCTGTCTTCTCCCAAAACCCAGATGTAAGCATCATCAGGGCCCTCATCCAGAGCCTCCTCTTCCTTGTTCAAACATACTATCAAGGTTAAGTCACTTACTTGGACATGGGTTTGTTGCCACTGTCCTCTTTTGCTTTTCTTCCTTCTTCCACAGGTTTGAGGTTGAACAGAGGGGTGACTTCAGCGTTGCCATATCCAGCAAACGTGACTGCAGCTGTACCATTCTCCTCATCTATCTCTTCAATCTCAGCTTCATAACACCTGTAAAGATATCATGGCTGTAAGCATGTGAGTAAAGGTTTAATACTCAGCCCTACAATACCTATAGTGTAAGTCAGTGAATAACATTAAGCTAAAGATTTGCAACCAACGTATTTCATTTCTGAAACAATATGCTAACCAGGCCAAGGACTTGTTATTCTTTAAGGACAAAGGTACATTAGTCCAAGGGCTGCAATGCATTATATTTAGTCCTGCACAACACTGATCAGGACCAGTGGCAGCGTCAAGGTCCTGTAGCTTCCAAAGCTAGCAATAAAGGTCTTGTGCAACCATAAAGTTAGGAACCCTTTTTTTTCTGGTTTGGATAGTCATGAGATACATCTGTGTCAGAACTTTTTAAATGTCAGTTTAAGCCTGGTTGGGAATTGGTAAAAAGGGGTGGGGGGCTTTTTTGGTGGTAAGTGCTGATCTACTGATACAAAAAGATGTTTGTGGGAGATTGCTAGCTTTGACAGATCTCTCCACCTCTCCATTTCTGGAAGAAAGAGTTCTGACATTGTCAAATGTCCTGTTTCAACATTTTCATAGTGAAAAGTCCTCTGAATCAGAGTAACTTGGTTTTGAAGTGTTGGCTAGTTTATACTAACATAGGGCAAAAGTGGAAATACAAACATCTAAAAACATATCAAAATAAAACATTTCCGGTCAACCTGAACTGATTCATTTTTGACTTGGTTAATCATTTTAAAATTAAAGATAATCCCAATTCAGAACAGAAAAAAAACCATAGAAATCTCCAATCCTCGCAGACTAGGAGAAACTTTATAGACATTATTCCAGCTAACATCTGCTATTTCATTTCTGCTAGAATTTTAGTGACCACCATCTTGAAGAACACTCGAGGTAAACTAGGCACTGATGCTTTAGTACACACGGAAACAAATGGGAGCCCAACTTCTACATGGTTGGTAACATAACTCTCTGGCTAGAGATTCAAGAGACACTGGCTGTTTACATTATGTTGCAACTGAAATTCAGAAAGGCAAGAGGGCAAAGTGATTCAAGTCCAGTATCATGTGACCTATCCGAACCAGAAACGTCTGGGCAGACCAGTCCAAATATTTTCAATTTCCAAAAGTTTTTCCAAGATCTGGCCCTGAACTAATGATCAGAGTGAAAATACTGACCCTCACTGGCAACCTAAAAAGCTTTAAAACTGAAACATTTGTAAGCTTGGCCATCAATGCATAGCAACAAAAAAATGTCTCTGGCACTTATAAAAGAGTGTTCTACATAAAATATCAATAATTTTGCATCAGCTCCTATCCTTAGTTGCCACTACATCACGTTAGCAGAGCCACTGTGCAAGGATATTGTTCACGTCACATTATTACAAAGAGATAATGGGTGCTGACCCTATCCAACTGGCCCAGTTGGCAAAAATTCTAAGAAATATTTCTGTGTTACAAAACTGTATTACTCCGAGTATACTTTTTATTTCAAGGAGTACGAACTCAGATTGAAGTGAAACAACCCCAAGACACCGTCACGTAAAGTGAGTAAAGTCTGAACGAACTATACTGGTACAGCACACTTTAAGGTGCTTTACCAATCGAGTATCCAACCATAAAGTTATCTGAGAGAGCAATATCAGTCTCAAAGGGTTCCAGTTTCTTTATAGCCAAAAGCTGGCATTCCAGATTAGATGTACCAATTGAAGTCTCTCATTAAGTCATCTTTCATAGTTGTAATAAAATGCCAATATATTAACATAATGGCAAGGCATTAATTACCCGACGTATTTGAAAGGCAACACATTACTAGATTAGTTGAGGAAGATATGCTACTGATTTGTCAAAGTGAAATGTTTATTCTGAGGGGGAGTGACCAAAAGGGCGATTCCAGGATCTCCTTAAGTTTTGTGCCTTTACTACTGACCTACAATAAAAAAGGGAGTCTACAGCTACTTAACCCTACGTTTCTTCTCTAATTCCTCTTTGCTATTTTACTTTAGACTGATTTTAAATGAGGCAGTTCAAGCTGAATGAAAGTCTCTTACCATTGTACTGTTTTATTTCATGTAACACTTAGAGAAGTTTGTTTTCTACACTTACTGTCCATCTTCACTCCATATTGCCATACATTTATCCCCAACCTTCCAGGAGTGACTGGGCAGGGCAGAAGCAGAACTGTCGGAACTTGCAAGTGTTTCTGAAGGTTGTGTTGAAAGCAGATCTTTGGTAAGTTCAATAACTTCCTGGAAAAGGAAAATGCAGACAATAACCTTTCAATCATCATTAACTGCACTTATTTCTTCTTCAAATTGAGGATTTTTTTTTTTTTTGGTAATAATAGTGTTAAGAGTGTTTCTGAGGTGAAGGACTTCTAGTTCTCTACCACTTCATGGTCTTATGCATCACAGATGTAGAGAAAAGTGATGTATGGCACATACTGCATTGTAAAGAGGCTACTGGCCACTTCTCTATCCTCAGCCGATTCAGTGAGAATGCCCCACTCTCTTTTTCACAAGAACTCTATCTAGATAAACTGCTTTTGTACAGGCACAGAGACAAAGCCAGCTATTTATGTGGGAACAATCCTTGATGCGACTCCTTGCACGTGTGTGCTGCGTGTGATGCTCTATTACTGACTAAAGAGTACAAGGCAGCAACTAGCAGAATGAAGTCAGGGTCGTGTTTGTTGCTCTGAGGGGAAGGCAAGGCTAAACAACCCTTTCAGAAGGCAACCATGTTTTACATTTCCATCTACATTTCAGTTTATTTTGCATAAGTGATTTAAAATTATTTATTGACAAAGATATTACACTTCTGTGTTTACACTTCTGTGTTTCAAATTATTGAATAACAAGTACAAACATAGTAATTAGTGCCTTTGAATGAATGTGACCATTTTTTCAGTTCCTCTAGAAAAAAAAAAAGTTAGCTGAACTCAAGCGTCCCCAGAAGAAAAAGGAAGTCTTTACTTTTGAGATCTAATTCTAAAAAGAACACCTTTTCAGAAAAGCATTTTGGGTACAGATACATGACATACTGTACTACTATGTAGTAAGTCATTCAAATCCAGGATAAAGATACCCCTTGAAATAGGTACAGTAGCTTTAACATGTGGAAGGCTGCTATATAGAAAGTGCCGTGCATCCACTCCTCAACTCAATTTCATCCTCAAAGTGAACTTGTTCTCCAGCCACTTTGGTAGTGGCTATTGAGGGCATGACAGACCTGACTACTTGTCTTCTCCCAAATATGGAATGAATTTCTATGGATTAAAATCTGGAGCAAGATACTCTGCAGTAACAGTGTAGTCTGTCTGCACCCTGGGGCACATACATGATTACCACTCATAGCAAGATGGACTCCACCTTTTCCTGGAACAGAACCTCAATATTTTAGACAAAGACCACCCCCCCATCAACCTGAACAAGGCAAGTGAATAAGAATACAGTCTTTTTCTACTAGACTGTGAATAAATAGTGCTACAAAGGTACTGAAAAAATCAAAGCTAAAACATTAGTCAGCAGCAATAGCCCAACCACTTTATCCATGTGATCTGACCTGACTGGACTATTTCTAAGGGTAAGTGCACAGACCAGTCTCAGTGGCCACATCTATGCGAGACGTTAATGTGCAGAAGACCAATTCTACTGCATGTTAGCGTGGTGGGCAAAACCCATGCTAATGTGAAGTAGATTTGGTCTAATGCACATTAACGTCACTAAAAAAACCCATTCATCTGCGCTAATGTGCAGCAGCACCAATTACAGTGCATTAATGACAGGCATTAGTGCCTGCCATTGCAGATACTAATTTACAAGTACTAAACTTAATGCACTGTAATTATAGTGCATTAATGAATGTGTAGACATGCCCAGTATTTCCTATTTTAGTAAAAGATATCCACGATTAGGTAACCACTTTTCTTGTTGATTCAGGAGTCAGAGTAGAGGAAACCATGTCTCTCTAACATCTATTTTTCACCTTATTAGAATAGGCAATTTCTGGTTCTACAGAAATCAAACAAATGCCAGTTAAGTCAGTGCCGTGCTTTTATTCTCCCATGTTAAGATTCTTGTGGTGCCATAACTTCTGATAAGACAAGTGATACAACAGCTGACAGAAGAAAACACATATGGGAACTTTCCTATAGGAAGAAAGGCAGCTGAAGTTTGTAAACAAGAAAAAAAAGTCTTCAGTTCTTGAATTATGTCACTAATTTTCACCATCTGATGCTAGTCTCAAATTTAAATGCTGGTGCTTAATTTAAGGGGGAAAATATTATGGAAAACCTAACTTCTCCCCTTACCCCCAGGTGCTTTCACAACAGTGACTTATGTTGCTGTTCCTGCACAAAACACTGCCCAAGGACAAGGCCAGGAGCAGAGTGAATCAGATGCTCTAATCTGATCTGCTCTGCAGGAAAAGTGGTATGTACTCATGTACCAAAGGCACAAGCTGTTTTGGTTGTCTGCGACTGTGGGATGATTTTAAAAAAAGGAATTGTACTAGTAATGAAGAACACTCCTGTTCCAAATGCATTTTCAGTTCAGCCCACAGCAAAAAGCAAGCACAGACATTCACCATTACTGGCTCTAGCCTTTTCCTTATCCCAAATCCCAAGAGGGGGTGGTTTGGAAAGTTGTGTACCCTAAGAAAATAAGGAATTCCCTTTGGCGACTCTCCAGAGAGACTGGATAGGCTTCTCCATTTCTGCTTTCTTAACAAAGGGAAGCAGCAGACCAGCCAGTGGGACAGGAAGGCTCCAGGACCCAGCAGAATTCCTCCATCAACTCATCAGGAATAACAGAGAACAGCTGTAGTCCATTGGAACCATCACTGAAATCAGCTGCACGGCACTGTTAAGGCAGAAGCCTATAAAGAGAGTGCAAGCTCAAGGAAGGAGGTTGCTGGGGAACAGTTCCCAGACACCAAACCTATATAGGGACTGTTCTGTTTTGACATGTACTTTTGTTTGCACCTAGTCACAAACAGGAGGACAACTGGATTCCTTGTTTGCTAATATCTGAACTCATGACACCTCGCTAGCAAGGATGCTTTTGGGTGATTATGGTATGTGTGGGGAACAGTGTTAGATTTAGAGGAACATATAGCAATAAAGTGGTAGAGACTGGGAAGAGGCCACAGTCTACCTAACATTGCTCCAGTCTCTTTTTATATAATACTGTATATGAACCAGCTCCAATTTTGATATCCAGAGTATTTAATTTGAGGGAGGACTATGGAGTATATGGCACTAATTACTCTTCCTCTCCAGGTCTGAGCTCTAAAGCAGCACCTTTGCCACAAATGGGTGACAGTAATCTGCAAATCCAAGAAGCACTGCAGCTTGCCACATGTGCGCTCCACTGGACCTGCTGATACAACCACACACCGATTACCTGAAGGTAGGTGTTTCAACTATGCAGTATACCACTGTAATGAGACAGCTGACATATTCCTGCCTCTTTATAGAATTCAAATGAATAGCTAGCTACATGGACTAGTCAGTCAACAATTCCTTGACTTTACTGCAGGTGTTTAAAGGACAGGCTATAAATTGCAAATTTGGTAAAACCTTGATTTCGTACCTGCTAAGTGTAATCATAGACAGAGACCTGAATTATGCATTGTCTTGCAGCAGTCACAAAGCAGTTAATTTATAGGATTGCTAACTCAAACTTTTAGAAGACTACTGAGGAAAAAAAAATGAGGACCAAACATGACAGGGGCACTGAGGAAGACAAAGATCTAAAACAGAGCTATTAATTCTATGAAAAGTCTTAAGGGTTAGAGAAATTAGATTTATAAAAATATTAAAAAGGACAGTGGGAGCTAGAAGGGAAATTTGACCCCATAAGACTCCTCAAAAAGAAGCTAACTAAAAAACAAGATGGGTCAATTGACACTTACAAGCAGGCAGAGGCTCTGAAAGCCAGTTTGTTTGTTTTTTAAATGGAAAACAGTGTGGTGCCTTGATACTAAAAGCAGTGAAAAAGCAACAGTGGTTTATGTATTCACCTGTCAGACCAGTAGTCAGAAAAGCAAGAGTATGTACAGAGAGTAGACATTGCATCTCCACATGAAGAGGAAGATGTTGGCAATCAACTCCACTTCTTCCAAGTCAGGCTGAATCCTTGGCTGTATAGACACCTTAACAGAAGTTTTTCAGTGAAGCAAAATATTTTCATGTAAATAAATGGGCTCCCTCTACATCTTGGTCAAATGTATTTCAGCCTGGCAGTTCATTACCCAGCTGAGCATGCTGCATGTGATGCTGCATCATAAAGGACTCTTTCAATCATGTAGTAGCAATCTTTTGAACAGACACGGAAACCATTTAAATGGGACATTTGACACTTAAAAAACAAAGCCAGGACTTATTTTCCATTTTTCCAGTTATAAGGTAGTTCATGTATATTAACTTGACAAGGCATCATCCATATCATTTACAAGGTGGAACATATGAATAGCAAACCTTTTAGAGACAAGAGTGTATGTATCTTCCCAATTTTGTGCAGAAAACTTTTTCTTACAAGAAAAAAAAAGTCTTCAAGTTGTCCTTTCAAATCCACAGTCTCTACATATCAAAGCCAAGGTACCAGAAATATCATCTTATGTAGGTTTTACTGTGTCTTTTTAAAAATACACAGATACTTTTCACTGTGTACAAGGAGACATATTCAGATTATGCTGAAAGCTGCCCAGTAGGTTCCTTACAATTAAGGAAGATCTCTAAAAACTAGAGTGGGAAGGTGCTTAAAAGCTTTCTCTTTGATTTTTTGAGTTTTAACTTTTTTGCTACTGTTCTTCAAGAAGCAGGATTGGTTACTGAATTTTGAGCTGGGTAATTTTATCTACTTCAAATAAGAACTTGGCAACTACAGTTCCCTATCTTAATAAAGTAGCATTTGGTACCTGCACTGTAACATTTAAGAAAACAGTAGAGGCAGGCACAGTTATGCCAGTTTTATTGTCTAACGGTTTAAAAGCAACACGGTCCTATTATAATCACGGTTGAGGTGTTCCTGATATCATTCAAAGTGTGTGTTATGAGGACTTGGGGAAGCTTAACTGTTCACTAAACTTGACAAGTTATGAGCTTAAAAGTCTAAAGCTCTTGTAAGTACCAACACGGCTTTCCTAACGCACCATATGAAACTCTTACGGAAAAAAAGTCAATGCAAAGTTTGTGTGTGCCAAAACTTCAAAACAATGCTCAAAGTATTTGGGCTCCTCTCTGATAAGTATTCAGTGAAAGAGTGCATAATGAATGCATCGCATCAGCAGCAAATTACATTCCTTTTAAATTTGTGTTGACAAACTAGACAGCATAAAATTCCATACTTCTAGGTTACCAAAGGATTCTCTCAGTACCACAAGATCAGAGATTAAGGTTGAATGTTTCTTTATAACTTTGCCAAAGTTATGAAAAAATGTAATAGGCTACAGGTGCAAAAGTAATGAAGACACTATCGAGGTATCTTTCCTAGTTTGTTCTCCTACTTTATAAGCCAGAAAGATTATTCCCCTTCCTAATTTTCTCTCTCTCTCTTTCCACCCTGCCTGTACAGTGATGTGGTTGCAATTTCTTTCTACCAAACTGAGAAGCCCTTCTAGTCTTCTACTTAATCAGATAAGATAGAAATACATAAGAATTACTATTTACTGGGTCAGACTGTAACTCCATCTTGCCCAGTGTCCTGTGTCCTACCATGACAGGGAAGAGATACCAAAAGGCAGAGTGAACTGGATCTGACCAGGGTTTTCCCCACTGTTCTTCTCTCACTTGCAGCCTCCAGCACTACAGATCCAGGATACTGGTTTTCTACCTCTTTTCACTTGCAAGTCCCTAGGAAGTTTTGAGTGGAGGTCCATACCCCTTCAAAATGTAAGTGTGGCTAATCAACATACTTCTGACTGATCACAATCATCTTTCACAGACCCCTTAGACCAGGGGTTCCCAAACTGTGGTACACACATCCCTGGGGGTACGCAAGATATCTCAGGGGAAGTATGCGGCAGAAATTGTGTAATGGCAGATTTTTCAATATATTGTTATTATTTTCATCAATAATAATGGGCACTGGGTAAAATATAAAACATTTGCTGGTAGGGGTATGCGTGCATCTGGTAAGTCTGGCAGGGGGTTATGCCATAAGAAAAAGTTTGGGAACCTCTGCCTTAGAGATGGTCTGTGGACCAAAACCACTGGTCTAGGAAGTTGTAAAGCAGAAGCTGTACCCCTTGCTCCAGCGCTGAACAGCTAGGGATGCCCCTTCCCTCCAGGGATGTGCCCAATCTCTTTGTGGATCCAGATACACTCTTTTATACTAGCTAAATGATGCAGCAAAGGCACTCCGGCCTTGGAGAATGCTGTTAGCGTCTGCTGTCCTGGACAGAGAGCTATCACCATCCTTTGAGGAAGAAATCAAACAGAAACTCTCCTTTGACTTCCACCAGCTGCTCTTCTAGTTCTCCCGGGCTCCAGGAGCCCAGCTGAGCTCCCGGCCTGCCCCTCTGGCACTTGAACCCCACCTTCCCAGTCGAGGTGGGCCAGCACTGCCACAAGGGGGCAATTATCACGATTATGTCCTATCATAATTATTACCATATCTATCATCATATCATAATCACGATACGACAATAATCACTACACGATATGATGATCATGGTGCGGCAATGATCGTGATATGATATGATGATAATCACGATACGATACGATAAGATGATCGTTGTGATGCTATGATAAGGTGATAATCACGATGATAGGATGACCCTCATGATAGTATGATAGGGCGATCATCGCAATCACCACGACGTTATGATATGATGAATGATAACAAGCGTGATTATTGCATGGTAATTATAATTGCATCGTAATTATCGTGATAGCAGGCTAAGGCAATCATCACGTTGCTATGAATCATGACTACCGTGAGCATCGCATCCCAATTATTGCCATACCATCACGTCGTATCACAATTACCGTGCTGATAGTATAGGGCGATCGTCATGATGTTACGATATGACGAAGCATAACAATCGTATTGTAATTATCATCGCAATTATCGCGATAGTATAATAAGGCGATCACCGCGATGTTACGATACAATGAAGCATAACGAGCGTGGCTATCGCATCGTAATTATCATCACGATTATCGTGATAGTATGATAGGGCGATCATAGCGATGTCACGACACAAGGAAGCATAACGATCATGGCTATTGTATCGTGATTATCATCGCGATTATCGTGATAGCATGATAGGGTGATCATCGCAATCACCACGACGTTATGATATGACGAATGATAACAAGCGTGATTATTGCATCGTAATTATAACTGCATCGCGATTATCGTGATAGTATGATAGGGCGATCACCACGATATTATGACATGAGTATTCATAACGAGCGTGACTATCATATCCCTACTATCGCTGTATCGTCACATCACGAGTATCGCAGCGGTGCAACAGCGCCAACCCTCATCTGACGTACAGTCGATACCAGTCAAAATGCAGGATGATTTTGGAGGCCGCGACCGGCGCTGACCCCCCGGTCCCTCTCTGCCGGTCGGGCTCGCCGGCAGCCCCCGAAACCCAGCGACGCTTCACTCTTGCCCCGGTTCCCGCGCGGGAGGAGACGACGCGTGCGCCTGCCCCCGGCCCCGGCCCACCTGCAAGTCCTTCTTCAGCTTGAGCAGGTCCTCGTTGTCGGCGTTGCCCGAGAGCGCCGCCTCCACTTGCTGCAGCTGCGCCTTGTAGCTGGCCAGCTGCTTGGCCAGGGCCTCCGACATCTGCAAGCGGCGAGAAGGCAGCCGGGC